AGTTGGCCGGGAGGGAGCGGGAGCAATATTGCCCCTCGCTTCCACAGGGTGGGAGCCTGGGGAGATTTTCTCACCGTTCCCTTCTCCCACCCGCAGACAAAGCGACAAACCCTCTGAACAAGGACCTGGACTGGGATGGTATCAATGCTTTCTGTGAGCAGCTCAATAAGGAGCTAGAAGGGTAAGTGCTTCTTCCTTCCCCCAGGCTGCTCCGGGTCATGGGCCTGGGTTATGATTGCCCACCCGGTAAGATTCAGTGGGATTGTCCTGAGAGCTGAATAGGCACGAAGCCCCTCAAAGTGGGGCTGGGTGGGGGGCCCTGGTCCACTAACAGAAGGTTCCCACACGGTTTTAGTGCCTTTTCAGTGCCTTAAACTTGCAACATGCTTTTCAACCCTGGATTCTCAGATAGAAACACAAGTATCCACGCAGGTACTTTTCATCAATAACTGGCTAGCTTTTTTTCCCTCTCACTCCTTCCAGTCCTCCACTTGCTACCCGACTTCTTGCCCACAAGATCCAGTCTCCGCAGGAATGGGAAGCTATCCAGGCCCTCACGGTAAGGGCATCTGCAGGCTGGTAGAACTAGGTGGAGGGCCAGGGTGTGGGGTTGCTCCAGTTTGACTGGAGGAGCACAGGAAGCATTGAACTCCCTCTGAGAAAGCCCTGGAGCTCCCGAGCCCTTGGGTGGGAGGGGGGCTGAAGGTGGTTCCACAAGAGAGAAGGGGTGACTGGTAGGAAAGGTCTTGTTCCTAGGAAGGATCATAGCCTATTGAAGCTGATGGGAAGCTTTTCGTTCCCTTAATGTCGTGGATCCATGCTGTGAAACTCCAGTATTTGTGAACTCTCTAAGGCTATCTCCTTCCATGGGTTGTGGTTGTTTCCTCCAAAGAGGAAAATCTTCTTGCTTTGCTTTGGGAGGGTGATTGGCCACCTGGGAGGGAAAGGTGGTGTCCCTCCATGCTGCTGTGAGGATAGCTACAGGCTCTGTGCCTGGCGAGGGGGCAGCAGGAGGGAGCTGGCTCTTGAATCTGCTGCTGACCCTGTGCCGGAGCTCACCAGGCCCCTCTCCCCAGGTGCTGGAGTCCTGCATGAAGAGCTGCGGCAAACGCTTCCACGACGAGGTGGGCAAGTTCCGCTTCCTCAATGAGCTCATCAAAGTGGTGTCACCCAAGGTGGGTCCCAGGGGATCGTGCTGGAGGGCACCAGAGCCTGGTGGCAGGAGGGCTTTGGGAAGAAGTAGTGGCTGAGCAGAAAGGTCAAACACGCACTGGGATGTGGGGGAAACAGGACAGTGCCAGTAGGAGATTTAGTCCTCGTTCCCTGGTGAGTTTTCCAGTGGGAAGGTGAGCTTTCACCCCTCTGCTCCTAGGTGATTCTTGATGCAGGAAGCTGAGGGCCAGCTAGACATGATGCAACCAGCACTTGTGAGACTACTGAGCTCATCTGCGTGCCTGGAGTCACCTTCCTTGCATCTCTCTTGGGCCCTGTCTGTGCTGCATGTGCTCAGAAACCTCCCTCAGCTTTGACATCGTGACCATGTCTCTCCGAGGTGTCCCAACCTGGTTGAGACACTCTCAGAGGGCAAGCCCAGGCCTGGTCAGCGGTGCTCTGGTAACTCCATCTGAAGCACCAAGTCATTACCTGCTTCTCTGCTGATGCTGCTGTTCCTGCAGCAGAACAAGCTGTGCATGCTGTCCTGTTCAGTCAAGGCAGTTAACACCAGCAAGGATGGAGTTAAGGGAACACAAACTAAACATGACTAAGGAAAACCTTCATCTGTCAGTCGCAGCTTGTGATTGGTGATGATGAATAGCCAGGGACAGTGACAGCGGCACCCTGAAGTCCTCTTGCTAGGCGCCCTAGAGAATGTCATCTACCTTAAGCCACTGGCCTTGGTGGCACACGTGCTGTTTCTACACTAGTGTCTACCACAGCAGACCCACGGGAGAAGGGTGAAGGATGATTGTATGGCAGGGGGAGAGCTGTAACGTTTGGAGATCTCACCACTGGGTGCTGGTCATCTGGGGCTCACCTAGCTCTAAAGGGTGCCACGCGCTTTGTGCTGGAGAGTGCCCCTGGGAGAGAGGGCTGAGCCCTGCCCCAGAGACTATTACCCACAGTCCTTCCTCTCTCAGCCCTGCTGTCCCCTCGTTCCTGAAGGGCTGCCTTGCCGAGCAGCTTCTGTTAGCAGTACACTTTCCTTCACAAGGTGACAGAAATGCGTCTGAGCCTTCTCACCTGTCTCTGTGTGTCTTTGAGGGGCTGCTGGTGTAGCATTTCTCCCACCTCTTGCGTTTCCTGTGGTGGAAACCAAGCGCAGCATAGGACGTGTTGCATTTTTCTGCTTGCTTCCTCTTTCCTCCTCCTTGAGCCGTTGGGAACGGTCTCACTTCTCCTGGGGGAGGGGAGGAGAGGAGCAGGCCAGGCTTGCAACAGCTCAGATCAGCTTGAAGCCACTTCTTCTCTCTTCCTCTAGTATCTGGGCAGCCGGACACCAGAAAAAGTGAAGTCAAAGATCCTGGAGCTGATGTACAGCTGGACATTAGGGCTGCCTCACGAGGTGAAGATCTCAGAAGCCTACCAGATGCTGAAGAAACAAGGTGAGAGGCATTGCCCTGGAAAGGGAAGGTGGACGGACGGTTTGCCTTCCCTCCTTTTGTGTCTGGGCAGAATCTGAAACAGACTCTCCCTTTCCTGTGCCCAGACCCAGCACATCCATCAGTCTGCCTGATTCAGCAGCAGAGGCAGGCGAAGGAGCAGGTGTCTTGTGGCTCCTAGCTGGGCAGAGGGAGTTGCTGGTGGTCTGAATCATTTGATGGGTTGGAGGGGACATCTGCTTGCTCCTGCAGGAGATGGGGCACTGGAAGGGGCTGGGGCTGGAGGGCTGCAAGTGCTTCGGCAGTCAATGCTGGGTTTTTCTAAGATAGGATATTGATGGAGAGTGGGGGGCAGTTTTTGCATGAAAACACAATCCAGGATCATGGGTAGTGGGAGCAGACCCAAACCCCCTCAGTCCCAGCTGGGTTTGGTGGTCCATTAGGGAAGAAATTACCTATGTGGCAGTGCCATCCCCCAGTGGGCGAGTCCTCCTGACCTCTCCGTTGGCCTCTACTGCAGGGATCGTGAAGTGTGACCCAAAACTGCCTGACGACGCTCCTTTTCCACCTCCTCCCCCTCGGCCCAAGAACATCATCTTTGATGATGAAGAGAAATCCAAGGTACGGGCTCTGTGCAAGGAGAGGGACAGCGGGCAACATCTTCTCTGCCCCAGGATCTCCTGTCCTCCTGGGGTGGAGATCCAGAAAGAGTCAAGGCCCCTGCCTCACATGCTGTGCTTCAGGAAATGCATCACGGGAATGCTGAGGGCCCACTCCAAAATCATGTCAAAGGAAACAGCCAGAGGTCGGGCACGTGGGTCTGTTTGACCTTTGGAGTGCTTAGCTGCAGGATGGTGCAAAGGGTGAAGCGCTGACATTAGCCCAGCAGGTTCTGGGAGGTTTGCTGCTGTGCAGTCTCAGGGCTTCTGAGTTATCCGGCCATGAGGTTTAAATCCCAGCCCCAGATGCTGCTGCTGTTATCTTTTCCCCACCCCCAGCACTGCAATCTGCTTATTGCCCAACTAGTTATACCTTCCTGGACCCATCCTATATTGCCTTTCCATCAGAATTGTGTCACCACTCAGGCAAACCTCTGCTTTATCAGTGCTGATACATTTAAGCAAGCATTAGGCTCCTCTGGGTCTACTTCTGTAGCAGAAGTGTGAGGCCAGTTTGCTGCAGGGGATGTATTTTGTCTCCATGGGTCACAGTCACAGTGTGCAAATGAGGATTTGTAGGTGGCCAGTGGGACTGTTCACTGACTACAGAAGGGGAGAGAAAGTGGAAGCTCTCCCTCTTCACCAGTTGCACCTGCAAAGAGGCACATGAAGAGGTCTGAGTAGGAGTCCATTGCAATCCTATGGCAATTCCTGTGTAAACCAGGCTTTCTCTCTTTCTCAGTACTAGTGCTGCTGTGCTCTGGGGTCTCCAGTGGTGCATAATGGGCAGGCAGGAGCAGGTTTTGAATGCAGGGGATCTTCAGGGAAAGACCTATCTTACATAACCAGAACCACAACAGGAAAAGGAAGACCAGTTGTACTTCTCTCCCTGGCCTGTGATAGCCCATAAGCTCTCATGGCTGGGCTTTCAAACGGCTGGCTTTCTCTGTTGCCTCTGCCAGATACGGGTTTGGGGCAGGGGTAACTCCACTGGCTCGAGTGTTGCAAGAGTGACTCTGGCTGCCACCCCTCAGCTTGGGCTCAGAGGTACCTTCTTTTTTGCAGATACTGGCTCGTCTCCTGAAAAGTTCCCATCCTGAGGACCTCCGGGCTGCCAACAAGCTCATCAAGGAGATGGTTCAGGAGGTGCGGCTGGGGAGAAGAGGAGCTGGGGTCTGGGTGGCAGTGGTTGGCACCAAGGGAGCAGTGGCTCTCTGTCCTCATGCAGACATATGGAGCTTCTGCCCAAAGTTTTGCAGCAGCAGATGCTAAAGAGTCCTTGTGTAACTTCTGCCATCCCTTGGCTACTTGGAGGAATGGCTCTGGGCACTTTTTGTGGCCCAAGCCCTGCTGCAGCACTAGGTCTGTGGCAATTCCATCCCTGTTTGGCAAGTGCTGGCCCAGAGATGATCTGGCGTTTTCCACTGGAGTGGGAGCTGTTTTGAGGGCAGTGTTGCTGTGCCTTAGTCCAGGGACTTGGTGTGTTGGCTGGCCCAGCCTTCCTCCTCTCCAAGCTGCAGACAAGAGCAAGGACATCCTTCCCCGTGTGCTTCCCCTCCAGGACCAGAAGCGCATGGAGAAGATCTCCAAGAGGGTGAATGCCATCGAGGAGGTGAACAACAATGTGAAGCTGCTGACAGAGATGGTGACAAACTACAGCAGGGGTGAGACAACAGAGAGCAATGAGGACCTAATGAAGGTGAGGAAAGGCCATGCCAGCATCCTCCCTGAGCTTAGCAGAGATGGGTGACCCTTATCCCCTCAAGTTCCTCCTGCCTGTTTTGCACCCCCAGCTAGGCATCCTGCTGCTCGCCTCAGCACCCCTTTCTCCTCTCCCTCAGGAGCTGTATCAGCGCTGCGAGCGCATGAGGCCCATGCTTTTCCGGCTCGCCAGTGACACAGAAGACAATGATGAAGCTCTGGGTAAGTGTATCTGGCCTTTCGCATTCTGTCCCCTTCTCCCTCCATCTTCTTTCAGGGAGCCTGTGCTTAGGCTGCCCATGGCATGGCATCTGTCAGCAGCCACCGCTCTGTTTGAGGTGGCTGCTCTCTGTAGGTTAGTTAGTCTATGGCTTGGCCCTAAGCGGATTCACGTGGCAGCAGTCAGCAGGGTTACAGGCTTCCTCCACTTCGCTGTAGGAACAATGCTTGTGCTTGTCCTGCTGAGACTACCATGGAGGTGTCAATGTACCCTGATACACTTTGCAGCAACAACTGCAAAAATGCTATCTGCAGTGGGCTGCTGTAAGCTCCTTGGGCCTTGCTTTGAAGGAATAGAGAGAGTTGGGGTATAAAAGTCACTCACTCTGTTTCTCCATGACTTGCAAACTTACTTCCCACCTATTCAATTTCAGCGGAGATCCTGCAAGCCAATGACAATCTGACACAGGTGATCAATCTCTACAAGCAGCTTGTGCGGGGAGAAGAGATCAATGGGGAGACGGTGGCCGGTCCCCTTCGAGGTGAGGAGACTTGGGGAATGGGGACAGGAAGGTCAAGCAGAGGGACCCTGTTGCTGGTTTCCTGCAATGTAAGAGAAGATTGAGAGAAGTGGAAAGGTGAAACCTGCAGGAAGCCAGCGTGGGGCTGGTGAGATGAGGAAATGGTTTGTGGGGATGACTGATACATGAAGAGAGGGAATTGGAATGGAGAGCAAAGGGGGAATTCCCTCTCCCAAGTGTGAGGAAGGATGGGAACTGGCCTCAGCACACTGGATCAGGACTGGATAAGATTTCTGTCTCTCAGCTTGTTCCTTCTTTGCAGGCAGCACCTCAGCGCTTCTGGATCTGTCGGGTCTGGATCTTCCGGCAACAGGCCCTTCCTACCCAGCTTTGCCCACCCTTTCAGGTGGCTCAGCAGTCCCCGTGCCTGACCAAACTGGCTCTGTCTCCTTGCTGGATGATGAACTCATGTCTTTAGGTGAGAAGGCCAGAGCAAAAGCTCTTTATTCTCTCCTTGACTCTGGCCAGTCTGCGTGGATGGTTCTCCTTGTGGCAGGAGCATGAATGAGGGAGAGCTCTGGGAGAGGTGAATAATGACAGACCAAGAGGTGGCCTTCACTTAGTGTGAGGGAGAAGGAGGGAAAGACCCTGCTATGATTCTGAACTTCAGTCCCATGGTGTTTTCCTGACTAGTCAGAGGGAGCCTGCAGGGATGTGCCCTCTGATTTGCTCTGGGAAAACTGACATGGCAGGTAAATCAAGAGTGATGCAATGGCCATCTCCAGATGGGATCACAAGGGTGGATCACCCCCAGCTCCTCTTGTTTACTCCTTGCAGTTGAAGTCACGAGCTAACGACAGATGCATGGGACTTCCAGAACTGTTCACATCGAAGTCTTGTGAGGTGCCAGTCACAGAAGGCTCTAGAATCCTGCTTTTTCCAACAAAGTCTCTGTTTCCTAAGATAGGTGCTTTGAATACAACAGCATGAAGTAGACAACATGGTCAGTGAGGCTTGTCAACCCAGTAGTATTCACTTCTCTGTCAATTGCAGTGAGAACTAGACTGTAAATGAGGATCTCTGGGCAGAAAAAACATTATCACCCTCCCGGCTGTCCCCCATGCAAGGACTGGAGCCAGACCATTGGTGGTTCTGCTCTGCTGCTTCTGTGTCTTATTCAGGCCTCATTTAATGCTCTTACCCACTTGGCAGCTAAGCTTCATGTTTGCTTTTACCCCCGGCAGGCCTGAATGACCCAGCACCGCATCCTGCCCAGGCTAGTGACAACAGTGGCTGGAACAGCTTCCAGGTAACGTGCTGGGAGCCAGGGCAGAAGGTGGGGAGGGTGGTAAAAGCAACAAATGGAGTAGGTAGGGAAGTGTGCCACGTCTGATGGTTGGTGCTGATACGCAACCCTGCTTGGGGGATTCTCCTGTGCACTCTTTTTACAGTCATCAGATAGCAACGAGCTCAGTATCACCCCTATCACAGCAACGCCACCAGTCAAAGCAGATGCTGGCGCATCCTCCCCCAAACCTTCTCCTTTCACCAGTGGCCTGGATGACTTAGACCTCCTGGGCAAGACTCTGCTGCAACAGTCTTTGCCTCCAGAGTCTCAACAAGTGCGATGGTAAGCAAGGGTGGTGGAATCTTGCATCTCTCCCCATCGTTTCCATTTCTGGGGTGCTGGACATGACGTTTCAGTGCCCCGTTCCACTCCTTGCTCTCTCTCCCTACAGGGAGAAGCAGCAGCCACCCCCCCGGCTCACCCTGAGGGATCTCCAGAACAGGAGCAGCTCTGGCACCACAGCCCACAATCCCAGCGCTCTGCCCGTGCTCCAGAGTGTTTCCCCTAACCCCACGCTGCCCCTGACCTCAGAGCTGCCTACCCCTGCTACGCTCCCAAAAGCTTCCACCACACCAGTAGGAAGTACTGCAGTCCCACCACGGCCGCCTGCCACCACGCTGCCCCAGGAGATCTCGCTGGCCAACATCACTGTGCCTCTGGAGTCAATCAAACCCAGTGAGCCGGGGCGAAAGAGTGGGGCAAGCTTGGCGGGGTGGACTGTTTGGAAGGGAGCTAGACAAATCAGGGAAGTAACAACTGGACAGGGTATGAAGAAGGTGGAACAAACCGTGCGCATATGGAAGGGAAGAATGTGAGGAAACTTCCTGCTTGTTGGATTTTGTGGAGTTTGAGGAGGAGTGGTTATCTCTGTCACTTGTACGGAGTTTGGGTGATGGAGAGAAGTTGCTGCAGGGCCAGTTCCCTCCTGGCTGACTGCTGCCTGTCCCTGCCTTTCCCACAGGCAGCATCCTCCCTGTGACAGTGTATGATCAGCACGGCTTCCGCGTCCTCTTCCACTTTGCTAAGGATGCCCTGCCCGAGAGGCCCGATGTGCTTGTGGTGGTGATTTCTATGCTTAGCACGGCCCCGCAGCCCATCCGCAACATTGTCTTTCAGTCCGCTGTCCCCAAGGTAAGGTGGCTTCTGGGGCTGAGGTCCCCAGACTGGACTGAAGTGTGATTCTCCCTTTGCAGGAAAGGCAGGGTGGGTGGAGAGAGCTCTGGGGGGCTGAGAGCCAGTTGTGTTGCCTTCAGATTAGCAGGAACCAGCACAATGTTTTTTTCTTTGACTAGACAGTGGAAGCTCCCCAAGTACGGGAGCAGGGCCTCTGGCTGCCAAGTCCCCCTCAGG